TCCGGCCGGGGCTCGAACCCTCGACCTCCCGCACAACAGTCCAGCGCTCTATCCATTGAGCTAACTGGGCGGCGGTTTTACGTAACGAGGTTAAGCGAAATGCTTTATTCGTATAAAGACTGACGAGTTACGATACACTGCAATAGCCGAGTTCAATAACTGTGTCATCATTCGTTCACCCAGTTTGTTTTAGGAACGTATTTTAGAAATCACTTTGACAGCTTATGGATGCAATCCGCCATTTTCGGAAAGAGCATGGACACAACTACGCATGACCGCAATGACATTTGCAGCATACCTGTGTTGGTTGTGTTACGCATGCGCGAAACACAATCCAATTCGTAGGCAGGTCATGGATAGGCCCTCAACTTTTGGTTTTATTTTCATGACATTCATTAGAAAGGCATCCTAGTTAGTACCTTATTGATGTCCTCAAACGTCCGGTTGTGACTGTTCCGTTTGGCGCACGCATGCGCATCAGCCATCAACTCAGCGATATAAACCTGTTCGCAATAAACAGCAGAAACCAAAGTCAAGACTTTTAACGAACATATTTACACAGACCACAAAATGGGATAACAACGACTCCATATCAATACCACCTATAAGACGCCTGGTTTTAGTTAGTAACCCTTTGAACCTCAAGAGAGACAGGCATCTAATTTCTCCTTAATGTATCACCCCTGAACAACACATTACGGTCCTGAGAATGAATAAAATGATTACCAACAAAAGAAGCTCGCGATTATTAGACAAATTCTCCTTGTCAGCACCTTATGAAATGTATGGAGATAAGTATGGAGTGTACGCATATTGATGCTAGGAAGTGTGCTAAGTGTGCATAGCATATTCGTTATGAAGTATATTTCTTAAGCTTATTGCAGAGATAGGCAGCAGGAACGTTGCGACGTGTTCTGTAGTAATTTCACAGTATCTTTGCCCATTCAGGGATAGGTTGTTTATAAGCTTAAAATAAGGCAAGGTTATTGAAAACTTTTCGCTTAGTATTATGGTCGAGCAGGAAGTTCTACAATACGACGAACTTACCTCGAATCCCTTTTGCTTTGCGTGGCTCCAGTATTTCTCAAAATGTTCAACCTTTTCATTTGGAAAAGAATGATATTGTTACTACTAAATTATCAAAAGGATACAGAAAAGAACGTTTTAATAGCAACATCGAATGGCGTAGACTGACCATGATCGTTTTTTCAGTAGTTCAGCGAAGAAAAGCGAAAGTGGCCCCCACCCCCCCCCCCACCTCAAACGCTTCGCGTTGTTTAATCCTAAGCCCAGAGACTGAGAGTAAATAGCATGTGATTTCTTCCTACATTACACATTAGGAACATGACAATGAAGAAAATGATAGTCAACTTAAGATGCTCTTGATCGTTAACCCAATTCTCCTAGTCATTACCAAAGGAAATGTATAGAAAACGGTATGGAGAAAATGCGCACTAATGTTAAAGTGTAAGTTCCCCGCGGCTCTCACTCCACCCCTGCTTTGGACGAGGATTGGACTGAAAATGAAAGGTCTGTGAACAAGCTTGAGGTGACTAAGATAAAAATAAAATTTCCGCCTTTGTCCCAACCCCCAGATATATGAACATCTAACCATTTCACTACATTAACGCAGTAGAGTAGGACTAGAACGGAACATATGCGAACCATGCGAGTAGTCCACCCAATAAATCCCATCCATCCCACCCCAGGGGAGAACATCCATCACACAGTAATCTCGTGCGTAGGAAATTAACGTCTCTTGCCCCTAACCCTGCAGGAGACGGGACCTCCATTTATTCGTCCCTATCCGAGAAGACTAGAATATCTAACCATTTCTTGGTGTTATAGAAAGGTAGCATATTCTTCTCAATTATTTTAAGACCTTGAGTGTTGGTCCGGCCGGGACTTGAACCCTCGACCTCCCGCACAACAGTCCAGCGCTCTATCCATTAAGCTAACCGGGAGGCGGTTTTTAACAGAGGATAAAGGAATGACTTTATCCTCAGAACCAAACCTAGAGGGGGTGGCAGATCAGAATGGAGTGAGTGAGAGAATTTTAGGTCCATACCTAACTTTAGAGTATGACTGAGGTCATACCATGAAGTAAAATTCACCACGGAAATGTTACGAGTGAGATTAAATAAGAAATAACTACCCTGGCCAAGGGGCCAGCTACGCTTGACAAAAATAACTACAACACAACAACTTGTATGCGTTCAGATTCCTTGTAGTCTAAAAAACAACGAACAACGAGGATTTATCCGGCGATTTGAAGTTATTGCTTCCAAGAGGATAGCCTCAAATCCTTGGCTAAAAATTAAATTTGGCTAAAACTACAAGCAACGCTCGCGGGGAGAGAAACTGCGCCCTTTGAATATTGTCAGCGGCGCTATGAGCCGTATGTAAATGTAACAAATCATACACCTGACCTTGTCATGAATAGCGTCGACTATCACCACAGGAAAAAATCCATCTTCCAGTGTCTTAGAAAATGATTTAAACAGACTGGCCCGGTAAGCTTCTTCCATCTCTTCTTCAAACACATATTCTGTTACCTACAGAGGAAATAACATTATAAGATCTTCATGCAGATTCTTGTTAACTGTTCCTGTTTAAGAGGACACTGGGCCCACGTCTGAACACAAGCCAGGAAAACTGGGTCAAGTATGTCAAAATCGAGGCTGAGTACATCAAATCGAGGCTACGTGATGGACGTCCCATGAAAAAATAATGCGACATGACAAATCTCGTCCTTTACAGATACATATAAAAATTCATAATCTAACTAATACAAATTCTGACTTCTTGAAAAGAGGACTTATCAAAAACACAAGACGCAAACGTAAATACTTCAAAGGACACGAGAAACCTTTCATTGCATTCCTTATTTTATGTAAGGAAGTTGACCAGTAAGTCTTTGTGTCATGTTCTCGACCGAGGTATTCTCCTTTCTGTACCTTTTGTGCATAAGTATCAAATGGGGGCTGTTCATTGTGGTGTTTTAATAAATTCAGATAAATTGCACACGAGTACAAGTGACATGTGGATTGTGAACATTTCCAGACAAACAGAGTATTTTAGTTATTCAGTCGTTCGGTCTTACAGAAGTTGAACATTGCAGATTGCTTTCGTCATCAGGCTGTTCAAAAAACAGAATTGAAAATAACTAGGTGATTTCTCTGTTGCTATAAAAAATATTCACCAAAGTCAACAAACTGAACAAGCGATTGAACTCACATGTTGAAGACAACTGTGAAGCATGATTACCTGAGTGAAGTTAGCCTCAACACGACAACCCTCAAATTATATAACATTTAAACAGCCTGAGCAGAATTCGTTCTCTTTGACCCAGCTGAAGACTTCCTCTAAGGCTGTGGTCTGCTCAGTTATTATTACCATTAAGAGTCCTATTCAGGACTGCTCTCACTCAGACGATCACCGAATATAACCGAGTGTTACACCCGGATTAGATCCATTAACTGCAGTGAAAATAATTTGGGAAATTTTCAACTGAATGTCGAAACCAAAATAACTGCATTGATTTTGCTTTACTTTGCTCTCTGATTGGTCCAGAAAACTCATACTACCCTCTCCACCAATCAAATGCAACACTTGGTCACCCGCGTTTCCCCGCGTTTTCCCGCGCTTTAGGCGGTTTGCTTGTTTTAACTTTGAGTTCTCATTGGCTCTTTGGGGTATTTCCTTTCCTTCTGATTGGCAGTTGCGATGACTTTGGTTTTGGTTTTACGACACTCAATCGAAAAGGCACTCTAAAGCACTGATTGTATTCAGTTCTAAAATTTCTGTGCCATTCTGTGAATAGCACAGAGATAAATCTTGCCTTCTTCTTGACTTTCTTCCCCGTTTCTGGGTCCTGTTCTACTTTTTCCACTTCCATTAAAAAGTAATCATCTAAGGCCAGAATTCTTGGAGCATGTGCTCCGTTGTTCACTTCCTTGTCCTAAAAGAGTCAAAGAGGGTAGCAATGGTAAGTTAATAGCCACCGTAACGAACTTCTTAAGCTGAAATTCCGAGCGTTAGGCCTTCGTCAGAGCAGAGGCACACGCTATTGATATACTCACCTTGATAAGCCTGGCTACATGCGTCTTTCCACTGCCTGGGGGTCCTCGAAGAATAATGACAATCTGCAATATATACATTTACTAGATCAAAATAAAACTTACTCGCTTTGCTTTCCATGTTTATCACTGGTTTTACACATACGAGTCACGTAGTATTATTTGTCCACAACATTACATTTCTTCTTTCCAACGAGATGTATATCAATGAGAAGGCAAAATAACAAAGCTAGCATTCTTGCATATACGCAGATGTGCTTAGAGGCATCAACACCTGTTGGTCTACCTGTTAGGTGTATACCTTGGTTCATATATACCTGAGTGACACTGTGAGTACATTTAACTGAAAGAAGTTTGAAGTAAATATTATGGTGGAAATAAAATTTGGACTACTACATGTTTGAGTTTCATTGTTGAGCCTTACCCTGTCTGGTCTAGAGTCACGCCCTGGAGGGTCCAAGATGCTCTCCACTGGAACAGTCTCTGGTTTCTTTTCCATCCGTGGTGCCTCGGTTGGATGTCTGCTGTCGTGAGGGTGTGGTGGGTAGGCAGCAGGGTCATGTAGAGGACGGTCCTCTGGGTATCGGGGTCGGTCTCTGTAGTGATCATCCATTGGAGGCAATCTGTCTGGAGGAGGTCGCTCATCATAAAACCTGTTGGAATCAGGCATGAAGTCAATGGTTGATGCCTTCACTCCCAGGACCAAAAAGTAATTTTTCCTTACAATATCAACACATTGCCAAGTAGGGGCATCATAAGAGGAAAGAAAAATGTCAAATCGGAGATACCGTTTGACTGAATAATAACAAAAATAAAAATTAAAACTGACATAAAAGTCTGGGCTGAGCTGTTCAAAGCTGGATTCAGAAAACCCAAGGTTAGTGTGAAATCTGATTTCACAATGAAAGCTTGAAAAGGTAATTCAGTAGAACTCTTTTTGCTTACAATTTGATGATTGGATGCTCTCAAAAGTATAAGGAAAATTATCCAAAAAAGGCTTTGAATGAAGGAATAAAGAAACACTGATTAAATTTTAACCCTAAGTTAACACTAATCAGCCTTCAACTGGGCCCTGTTAGGCAGTCAGTAAAGAAAGTTAACAATGCAGGGTTATAAAAATAAGCTGGCAACTGGTACTGAAGCATGACATTGATGGCACCTGCTGCTGACCACTTTGTATTACAGTCCAGTTACTCAAAATCTCTTTGAGAATCTTGACACTGAGATCTTGGGTGAAGCAGAACAGGATTGTGTGCTGCAGCAAATCATTATGCTCTCAAAAATTAATGACAATTACATAGGTTTTAATATTCACA